TTCTTTCACAGCGGAGGAATCCTGTATAGTAGGACTCCAGATTTGGGATTATTAAGGTGTGTCGACGCAAAAGAAGCATCCAAGCTACTAGAGGAAATTCATGTTGGGACCTGCGGTCCACATATGAATGGTTTTGTTTTAGCAAAGAAGATACTCCGAGCTGGTTACATTTGGATGACTATGGAGACAGATTGCATCCAGTACGTCCGGAAGTGTCATCGCTGTCAGGTTCATGCCAACATGATAAGAGTGCCCCGAGTGAGCTCCACACAACAAGCTCACCATGGTCATTCGCCGCCCGGGGAATGGACGTCATTGGACCAGTCGAGCCTGCTGCTTCTAACGGACACAGGTTTATCCTAGTAGCCATCGACTACTTCACAAATGGGTCAAAGCAGATTCTTATAGAGCAATAACTAAGAAAGTCGTGGCAGACTTCGTCCGCGACCGCATTGTTTGTCAATTCGCTATCCCAGAGTCGATCATCACTAATAATGGCTCTAATCTCAACAGTGACCTAATGAAAGGTATGTGCGAAACCTTCAGAATCAGCCACAAGAATTCCACAGCCTACAGGCCTCAAATGAATGGATCTGTGGAATCCGCCAACAAGAATATCAAGAAGATATTGAGGAAAATGATAGAAAAGCATAAACAGCGGCTTGAGAAGTTAGCATTTGCTCTATTGGGGTATCGCACCACAGTCTGCACATCAACCGGGGCAACCCCCTATATGCTGGTTTATGGTACAGAGGTGGTCATTCCCGCCGAAGTAGAAATTCCTTCCTTAAGGATCATACAGGAGGTCGAGCTTGACGACGCAGAAAGGGTGAAAAGCCGTTATGAACAACTAGCTCTCATAGATGGGAAAAGAATGAACGCAGTGTGTCATGGTCACCTTTATCAGAACAGAATGTCTAGAGCCTTCAACAAGAGAGTCAAGCCGAGACAGTTCACACCGGGACAACTGGTGTAAAAGAAAATTTTTCCGCATCAAGATGAAGCCAAAGGGAAATCCTCTCCCAACTAGCAAGGTCCATACATGGTTCACCGGGTTCTGACAGGAGGGGCCCTCATACTTGTAGAAATGGACGGAGAAGTTTGGCCAAAGCCGATTAATTCAGATGCAGTCAAGTGCTACTATGTGTAATCTTTATGTATTCCCTGCATGATATAATTGAACTACGTCTGACCCGATTCCCGTTTAAGAGGGGATACGTAGGCAGCCTTATGGGTTCGGTCACAATTAAATAAAATTTTCATTTCCCCCGAAATTGGAAACTGGGGCAGAATTTTGAGGAGGACCCTCAAAATTCCGAAGTAATTTCAGTCGATTGCTGCACGAGCAGCAGTCAGAAGCATCAAACCATTAAACTGGGAGAATTTTGAGGAGGACCCTCAAAATTCCGTAGCAAGAGAGGTTGCAATGTCTCGAACCGCGTCACAGTCGTCAGTTCATCTAAAAAAAACTATTATACATTTATGTTATACTTTTACCAAAACTACATATTCATACTAAAAAAGATACCTACTCTAGGCGAGAGCTTCTCTCTCTAGGCGATTTTGGCGATCACCAGCGATTTGGAAATTATGGCCAATCTGGCCGGCGGCCAGCCGTTAACTATGGCTGGTCAGCCGCCACAACCATCCCCCGTCGATTCCCAGCCTCAAGCACAACCAAAAACACCTCTAGATTACTCAACTATTCTTAAACCTAGTACAATTAATGCGCCCATGCACGTAAACAAGGCTGCGCAAGCTGCTGTGGATCCAATACCAATGAGGCGACCTTCTTTTGTTAATGGGCAGCCATTAATAAAGTTCACAGAAGCAGAAGTCGATCGTATGAATATTATAGAAGGGCTGCAGTATGCTGTAGTTGGAAAATTTGCGTATGGATGGCCTGAGTTGCAAGAAATACGTCGCATTGTTCCATCTCAATGCGGAATAAAGGGAGAATGCAACATTGGCCTTCTCAGAGATAGGCATGTTCTTATTTGAATGACATTATGGCAGGATTACGTTGAGTTTGTGTCGAAGGGTGCATATTATGTCAAAGATAAATATGGCAGTGAATATCAACTACGTCCTCTAATCTATGATGCCAAATTTAAAGCTGGAGAAGAGACTCCAATGGCCATGGCATGGATTTCATTCCCAGGTTTGTTACCTACGTACTTTGTGAAGGAGGTTTTATTTTCACTAGCTTTAGCTGTTGGGAAACCAATTCATCTTGATTTGGCTACAATAAATAAGAACAGGCCCAGTTGTGCAAGGGTAAAGGTGCTTGTGGATTTGTTAGCTGATCATCCAAAGAAGGTGAGAATGGATATTGATAATGAAGTTACTGGAGAAACAAGGACTGAATGGGTGAATATTAAATACGATATGATGCATAAATACTGTAAGGAGTGTAAGCTACAAGGTCATGATATGTTTTAATGTTGGAGTTTACATCCTGAGTTGTTGCCTCATGATCAAGGTAAGCAAACTGCAGAAATTAATAAGGAGCAGAATAATGAACGGCAGAATCAACCTTTGATGATATTGTCAAGTGGAAAAGTTGTAGGAAATTTGAATTCTACTGGTGAACAATGGAGGGAAGTAAGGGATAATCGTGTGAGGAAAAATGGTCAACCAACTGACAATCAGGCAACTACTGGGAAGGAATTGGTTCCTACTACTAATACTAATGTGCAGCAGGATCAAGGTGCCACCAGTCAAAATAATGCTACTGCAGGAATGGAAATCGTACCAGCTGATGTTACTAGGCAACAAGGTATTGAGACTACAAGTGTAGAAAGAGGTCCAATTGGAGTGGCTCAACAAATCCAAACAGCCAATAAATTTGCAGCTTTGCAGGAGGATGATGGTGAAACTAATAAAGAAAATCAGTTGGCTATTGTGGAGGAACCAGTGGACCATAGGAGCCCTATCCAAAATAATAAGAAGGCCGGGCTATTAAATCCAGTTGCAGCAGTGTTTACCCCTAGATCAGGGGTGGCTTCATCCAAGAGAGGTAAAGTTGCTGATCCTAGTGGGGTAGATGGTGTAGCCAAGGCTGCTAATAGTGGAGTTATTGAAAAGGTGCCAAAAGAGTCAACAGCACAATGGGTGAGCAGGACTATTGCAAACAATGTAGCAACCAATCAATCTTGTCAAGAAATACCTTCTCAATCAATAGAATTTGATGCAGTAGAAAGGGTGTCTAAGAATGAGAGGTTGCAGAAAAGTGGAAATAAGCTATGGCATGAACAAACTGAAGAGGAGTCAGATGAAGGGGAAGTACCTGTTGGTGCCATTGGTGAAGAAGAATCAGCAGATGAGGAAAATGATCAAGAGGAGCAAAATGTTAACAAAGGAAAAAATCCATAATCATTGGGAGATGGTAGAATCAATGAAGAAGGAGATGAACAAGGTGATAGAAATCAGATAATTGCAGGTGGAGAGGGTGATCAAAAACTCTTGAGTCCAAATCCTAATAAGGTGTTGCCTTCAGCAAAGCCCAATATACTTATGGAAGAGCCTATAGGAGGAACTGAGGGGGTCAGTGAACCTACAGATGCTCAAGCATCAGAGAAAGGAGTTGAAAAGGTAGGAGTCACAGTCTCTATACAATCATGTGCTGTTATAGAGGTAGGTAAGAATACATCCAAACAAATTACAGTAGCTGGATCACACAAGCTGGACAAAAAGAATTCAGCCTTGGCCAAGACTGGCACTCAGCAGCATCCCATAGAGCCAAGAGAACAGGTGGGAGTGGAAGATGTAGCAAGAGGTACAGTAAAGGAATATTATGAAGAATCCACAATACAGAATTTCAAGAATGTGGCAAGACAAGGTGACCTTTCACCTAGACACATGGATACAGGTAAATCAGTTGGCAGGGGTAAAAAGAAAAATCCAAGGGAGATACAAAGTGTAGTACCTGGGGTCCAAACAAGAAGGACCCTATCTAAATCTCACAATTAATGATGAATGCTATCATATGGAATGTGAGGTCAATGAAAATAATGCAAGCTTTTGAGAGACTAATCTTAATGCAAAGACAACATCATTTCAAATTCATAGGCATCATGGAGCCAAAACAGAAGAAGAAAAAGCTAGAAAGATACAGGAGGAGGATTGGCCTGCTACAAGCTTTCTCTAATGTGTCCAACAAGATCTGGGTGTTTGTGGATGAAGATCATGGAGTAGAAATAATATATGACCTGGAACAGCAGTTAACATTGAAGTTCACAAATCTGGATACTCAAATATCCTTTGTGGTCACTTTTGTATATGCAAAATGTGACTCAGTTGAGCGTATTGAGCTGTGGGATAGTCTATACAATTTAGCAAGGGATATGTCCTTACCTTGGCTTGTTGGGGGGGGGAGGGGGACTTTAATGTTATTTGGGATGAGGAGGAAAAATTAGGTGGTTTGCCTGTGTCATTGAATGAGATTAATGACTTTAGACACTATGTTAATACTTGTAATCTCAGTGACCTAGGCTTCAAAGGTAGTATTTATACATGATGGAATGGTAGAGGTGGAGATGCTTGTATTTTTAAGAGGCTTGACAGATGTTTAGGGAATCTGGAGTTTCAGCAGATGTGTCCTAATGTGGAGGTAAATCATCTATCTAAGATAGGGTCAGACCACAGTCCTATGATGGTAACTTATAATGCAGATGATGCTCCAATAAAAAAAACCTTTAAATTCCTTCACTTCTGGACAAAACATTCTTCTTTTAAGGAAGTGGTTAAAGAAAACTGGAAATCAGATTTTGTAGGGGATCCTTTTTGCATATTTAATCAGAAGCTAAAAAGATTGAAGAAGGCTTTAACTGTATGGAGCAGGTCTACATATGGTGACATATTCAAAAAATAGCAAGCTTAGAAGAAGTGGTACTAGTTCATGAAGCAGAGTTTGAAAGAAATCCAACTTTTCAAAATAGAGAAAGACTGCAGAAGATTCAAGCTGAATTGATCAGATTCTTAGCATTAGAAGAGGAGTAATGGAGCAAAAATCTGGTATGAATTGGTTCAAGGATGGTGATAGAAACACAAAATATTTCCATACTCAAGTGAATGGTAGAAGGAAGAGGCTGCAGCTGAAAAGAGTGCAGAATAATGCAGGAAACTGGTTCGAAACTACTGCAGATATGGCTGATGAGGCAGTCAGGTTCTATCAAGCTCAATTCCATGAGGACTCAGTTCCTACAGCATTTGGTATATTGGAACATGTCCCTTCTATGGTGGATAGTTTTCAGAATTCAGAACTGGTACAACAACCTACTAGGGAGGAGGTCAAATATGCAATTTTTGGCCTAAATGGTGAAAGTGCAGGAGGGCCAGATGGTTTTACAGGTTGCTTCTTTCAAACATGTTGGGATATAATTGGAGATGATATAGCAGAGATGGTGAAGGCCTTTTTTAATGGACATGAGCTGCCCAGGTATATAACACATACAAATTTGGTACTGTTGCCTAAAAAGAAGGAAGTGGTTTCATTCTCTGATATGTGACCTATTAGTCTAAGTAATTTCATTAATAAGGTTTTATCAAGAGAAATACATGAGAGCTTAGTAGGTTTGCTACCTAAATTAATAGCAGATGAGCAGGCAGGCTTTGTAAAAGGGAGGAGTATAGTAGAAAACATCTTGTTAACTCAAGAGATAATCACAGATATTCGTTTGAGAACTAAAGCAGGACCAAATGTTGTCATTAAACTGGACATGACAAAGGCCTATGATCGATTGTCCTGGTTGTTTTTGACAAAGGTTTTGAGGAAGATGGGATTTGGTGAAAGATTTATAGGGTTGGTGTATGGCATAGTATCAAACAACTGGTACTCTGTGCTTCTGAATGGGCAGCCTCATGGATATTTTAGATCAACAAGAGGTGTGAAACAATGTGATCCTTTGTCACCTACTCTTATCATCCTTGCAGCTGAAGCAATGTCTAGAGGACTGAATTCTTTACATAAGAATCTGTATTTTTGTGGATTTGGGATGCCCAAGTGGAGTCCAAAAATAAATCATCTTGCTTATGCAGATGATACAATTATATTTTCCTCATCAGATGCCATTTCATTGCAGCTTATAATGAATGTATTTTCAGCTTATGAAGCAGCTTCTGGCCAGCTCATAAACAAGAGTAAATCAGCTGTGTATTTGCATCATTCTGCTAGTGATGAAGTAGTGGACAAGGTTCAAAGCATTACTGGTATTCCTAGGCAAGAGTTTTCTTTCACATACTTAGGCTGTCCAATCTTCTACCTTAGAAGAAAAATGGATTACTACCAAGGGCTCATAACAAAGGTGATGGATAAACTGCAGAACTGGAAAGGGAAGCTACTATCTATTGGTGGAAGAGCTGTACTTATATCACATGTGCTACAGAGCATGCCCATCCACTTCCTATCAGCAGTGAATCCTCCTGCAAATGTGATTAACAGGCTGCATAAATTTTTTGCACAGTTTTTTGGTGTAACTCTATTGGGGTTGCAAGTAGACATTGGGCTTCTTGGAGTACCCTATGCTTACCATGTGAAGAGGGGGGTGTTGGCTTCAGATCATTACATGATATGTCCACAACTTTGTTTTGCAAGTTGTGGTGGAATTTCAGAACAAAGTCTATGGAGTGCATTTATGAGTCAAAAATACTGTAAGAAAATCAATCCAATGGTGGTGCCTTGGAGATATGGATCACATGTTTGGAGAAAGATGCTGGAGTGCAGGGAAATTATTGAACATCAGATCCTTTGGCAACCTAAAATGGGGTCTACTTTATTTTGGTTTGAGAACTGGACAGGGTTGGGTGCTTTGTACTTTGTCACACCACCAGATTTTGTGTGTGATGAATCAGTACATAATATTTGTGATGTGGTGTATGAGGGACAATGGGATGAAGATAAGATTAGAGAAATTTTATCAGAGGACCTTGCTACACATATTCTGGAAAACATTCAACCACCTGTGTCAAATGAGAATTTAGATAAACCTGTGTGGATGCTAGAAAATAGGGGTGAGTTCTCTGTTAAATCAGCCTGGGAATACCTAAGAAGAAGGCAAGAATCATGCAGTGCATACAGGAATAATTGGGTCAAAGGACTACCTTCTAAGATTGCTTTTTTCATGTGGAAGGTTTGGAGAAATAAACTACCTCTTGATGAATTTTTCAGAAGACTGGGGTACTTATTGGCTTCTAAATGTTGATGTTGTACTGAGCCAAAGGAAGAGACAATGCAGCACCTATTTTTTACATCATATGCAGCCAATAGAGTGTGGAAATTTTTTCTGGGGCATGCAGGTATTGATGTGGAGGGAATCACTTTCCATCAAGCAATTGTTAGGTGTTGGACTGCAGAAGTAGTTCATAGACTGAAACCTATCATGAAAGCTCTACCATCTGTGATCGTTTGGGAATTATGAAAGAGAAGGAATAGTTATAAATATGGGGATGCAGTCACAGTCAATAGAGTTATTTACCAGATATCTACTACCATTCAGTCCCTCATCAAGCTAAGGAAGCCAGGAATAAAAAATATTCCCTCTAGATGGCCAGATATGTTTAAGATGATGGAGGATTACACTCCTACTCTGAAGTATACAAACGTGTTGTGGGAACTGCCAAGACAAGGCTGGATCAAAGTTAATACTGATGGAGCAGCTAGAGGCAATCCAGGAAGGAGTTCTATTGGTTTTGTTTTGAGGAGTGAAGATGGAGATGTGGTCTATGCATGTGGAAAGGAAATACCTGAAGGTTCAAATACAGTTGCAGAAGCACAAGCCATATATGAAGCCCTAAAGTTCTGTTTGGACAATGACTATGTACTAATCGACTTACATACTGACTCAATGATCCTAAAGAATGTAATGACTGGAGAGTGGAGGCCTCCTTGGACTATAGGGGTAATTGTAGAGGAGATTAGAGGGATGATGAGTAGAGTACGTATAACAGTGACACACACTCTTAGAGAAGGCAATAGTTTAGCTGATCATATGGCAAATTATGCACTGGATGTTGGGCCGGTAGAGTGTCATTGTTTTGAAGATCTTGATGCACAAGGAAGAAGACTGGTGAATAGTGATAAAATGCAATGTCCATACATTAGAGTTACAGTTGCAAGGAATTAGGAAAGGGGGGAGAGGAGTAGAAAATGAAGAGGAAGTCGACAGGAGAATACACATCTGCTCATCATGTTCAAAACCTTTTGGTGGAGAGCAAGATGAGATCCTTTTTTACTAACATAGTTTTCTTTTTTGCAGATGAAGTTTCAGCATCTGTGCTCTACTCTCTAATGGATGTCCAATTGGTGGTATTAGTGCTATGCACTCAATCCAATGGAAGGAAATTAGAAGTAGGCAAAAGCATAGAATCAAAGATGAGTACTCTGCTGCATTATTCTGGTGGTGAAAGGTACTTTTGGACTGGAAAAACAAGAATTGCTGGGGTGTTCCTGAGTTATTATCAAGATCAATCCAACACCTCAAGAACAATGGAAACAAGCTACATGGATCTGATTGCATATAAACAAAAGGAAGCACACAGGAATTATATCAGAAGGAGCAGACTCAAATATGTGCACAGCTGGTACATTAGTAGAGCAAGCTGTAGGATCAATGCAATATTCAAATCGTTTTCAATCCCTCATACAGGGAGCCAGGCAAAAGTGTTTGCAGAACAACATGATGCTGCAGAACATCATATCCAAATCCTTAGGGAGAAGGATGTGATGATCAGTTTTATTGCTAACCTTGTGTTCTTTTTTGCAGGAAAAGTTACTGTATCCATACGGCGAAATACATAGTTTACCCATCCACCTTGTACCCAAATTCCTGTTACACACCTGTTGACTACGGGTATAACTTTACACACTAAACCTTTCAAATGTGTGTCAATTACACACTACTTTTGACCAGCCTAGTTAATATTCAATGCGGTGTATACACGCGCTTATTTAAGTTAAAAACAAATGATTCTTTAATTAAAATGGACAAACCAACCCTTTTTTTAATCCCGATCCAAAAAAGATCCGACCCGGTCGATTAAAAACAACTCCTCGACCAGATTAACAAACACAATTCCATTTTCACCAAAATGTTCTTCAGCCCTAACCTTTGAAGGCGACTCCGACGAGAACACATCCGGTGTTTGTTGCTGTTACTTTCGTCATTTTTTAGTATTCTCATTTTAGGTTGTTGAATCATTTTGATTTAGATGGGTGGGTCGAAATAGTTAGGGTTATTTGGACCCGAATTCTCCATTCAATATGAACCCTAATACGAGAATTGACAGAAGAATAATTATGTATTGCACTTTAATTGAACAAATATAACCAGCTTGAAAATATTAGATGTGGAAGGTGAAGATGGGGGTTGGGTTTTTCTAAAATTGGTTCCTTTTAATATGAAGAAGATGAAAATGGTTGCTTTTAATAAGGAGAAGATGAAGAGGTGGGCGGTAGGGTTAGGAAAATGGGCTCAATTCCAGTAATTAGCCGTTGTAATTTGTCAGGTGAGGCAGAAAATAAATTTTCACGCGCCACATATGTCGTGTTTCACACGTCCCAGAGGCTGGTCAAAAGTAGTGTGTAAGTGACACATATTTGAAAGGATTGGTGTGTAAAGTTATACCCGTGGACAATAGGTGTGTAACAGGGATTTGAGTGCAAGGTGGATGGGTAAACTATGTATTTCGCCTATGCATACCCTATTGTTGGCTACAAATTCTAAGGGTGGTATTAACATTTAATGCTCATTCCCTGGAAGGAGTACTAACAGTAGGCAAAAGTATGGAGACTAGGAGGATTATACCCAGACTTTGGACGTATGTTACTTTGCAGTTGATTCTGGGCTCAATGGGAGCAGCTTGTAGTAAAATACTAATGTTCCCCAGTAGAGTCACATCACAAATATGGGGCCAATCAGTTGCTTCAATACAACTCTGCTGGAAATCACACGAAATCTGTCTCAAACTGGGCATCTGCAACAGTTTTCTGTCCAGGAAGGGTACAAACTAATGGTTGTAACACAAGAATGTTGGAATTCATATGATTCTTTGCAACAACAATACATGCTCACACATGATCGACAATACTGGAGTCTATCTATACTGAAGAAAGCGGGCAACTGGCTAGGAAGTTCACTTAAGGAAGCTAGATTTTGGAGCACATGCATCATAAGGAAGCTAAAATGATTTGGAATCTGATATCTAGAAAGGAATACACATGCTATGGGAAGCTGGAAAATCAAAGGAACACTATGCAGCTCATGAATGATCAGGGATTTCTTATAGACAATTTTGAGGCAGTAGTGGATACTCAATTGATACAGCACAGGAAGCAGGATCAAAGTTTTAATAAAGCAAAATTTCAGAAGTTTCTCAATTTGGAAGACATTACAATTCTAGTGTTTATAACTCAGTTGCTTTTTCTTATTAGACTACATAATGTGATATCAATGTTGATTTCATCACTCAACATTGATAGTAGGACTTATGTAATTGTCATAGTTTATTTCTTTCATTGTGCAAGACCTCCAGATATGGTGTTTTATTTTTGGATTTAGATATATATAAAACTAGCCCTAGGCATAATGCCTAGTGGATTTTACTAAAAAAAAAATACTTTTACCAAAGCATGCATGTCTATCATCAAAACTGCTTTGTTCAGCGACGCTACCCCAGTGACACATACAGTATCACCAGATCGAAGCCAAGCAGGTCAAGCAAAGCCAGCGGGGATACGAACTAACCTCCCCTTTACAAAACTTATGATTTTTCTTTGGATGCAGGCACTTGGATTGCGAAATCATCCAAACATACTATACACTCACAAGATAAACATTGTTCAGGAATACAACTCTCAGAACCGTTGCATATATTCACATTTGCTATCCACACACAACAATGTCCCCAGCAGTCACGATATCACAATCTGCTATCAGCTAAGAAAGCTCTATTACCATTTGCCATTTTATTTCTTGCATAAGGCTACCATTCTGCCCTCCGAGACTAAACGTTGTCTCCATCTGCATTTTTGCATTGCATAAGGCTACTATTCTGCCTTCCGAGACTAAACATTGTCTCCATCTGCATTTCTGCATTGCATAAGGCTACTATTCTGCCTTCTGAGACTAAACATTGTCTCCATCTGCATTTTCTGCATTGCATAAGGCTACCATTCTACCTTTCGAGACTAAACGTTGTCTCCATCTGCATTTTCTACATTGCATAAGGCTACCATTCTGCCTTCCGAGACTAAATGTTGTCTCCCTCTGCATTTTTCTGCATTGCATAAGGCTACTATTCTGCCTTCCGAGACTAAACGCTGTCTCCATCTGCATTTGCATGGCTGAAAGATCGCCTCATACTGCATCTTCATGGGCTGAAAGATCGCCTCATACCACATCTGCATGGCTGAAAGATCGCCTCATGCTGCATTGCACGGCTTACTGATCGCCTCATACTGCACTTGCATGGCTGAAAGATCGCCTCATACTATATTTCATGGGCTGAAGATCGCCTCATACCGCATTTCATGGGCTGAAAGATCGCCACATACTGCATTTCATGGGCTGAAAGATCGCCAAATTATCCAAAGGTGTCATCGTTCGGAGGCACCATCCTCATAGCCCGAGGACACCATATCATGGCCTGAGGATCCTTTCCAATCTCTTGCATATCATTATTCAAAGGCATCATGGTTCGGAGGCATCATTTTTATAGCCCGAGAGCATCATTTCATAGCTTGCGAATCCTTTATCACACGCTTCATGGCTCAGGACGTCATAGCCTAAGGACGTCATCCTAAGGCAGCATTCATGGTCCGATGGGAACTTGCATCATGTCTAATTTTATGCACAATGTACGCTTGTATTGTTTCTATTTGCAGGTAAAACCGGCATGCAACAACCGTCCTGGCAGGATCCCGCTCCGGTGCCCGCAGCCATATCAAGCCTAACCATTCCAGTAAGCCACTCACTTATCCCGACTAAAACATTGCATCCGTCCTTGGAAAATACCCGTCGGCATACTACCGCCGACGGATCCTGAACTACATACGGCCTGATTCCTGTAAGACCAGGGATATGTAGGCAGCTCAGAAGCCAGGGTGCGGCCTGAACCTCTCCCAAACCATTTCGCTCGGTCAAAATTGGCCATCATATCTTTACCCGAAAATTCTTTCATCATTCCCGGGTAAAGAGGGGCAGTTGTTGACACCCAATTTTTCCCTACATATATATTTTTCAATATGCAAAATACTTTCAAAACAGCATATATGTGCATATATAAGTATATCCAAGGGTTTTATTATTTTTTCACAATTTTCAAAGATTTAAATTGATTTATTTTCCCTTTGTTATCTATAAAATCTCAATAATTACTTCCAAAACTATCATTTTGGTGATTTACCTATTGTATTCTCATATTTATTTTAAATGTAGCCAAGGGAATTTTTGTACATTTTTTACAAATTTATTTAGTATTTTTAAAGCTAAATTGCATATATTTGTAATATTAGCCTCTTTTAAAATTTAATTGCATTAAGGTTCACAAGATTAGGTCTGGTATTTTTTAATAATTAATTATGTACTATAAATTATTTTAGTACCTTTAATTTATTTACAGAATTTATCTTATTATATTTATAAATTAAAATAGGGAAAAGTGGCTATTTAAATTATAGCCAGATTTGGCTTTCAGTTGTAGCCTAAATTGAACTCAACCCAACCCAATTTCATACCCAATTAACCCTACCCAAACCCTAACACACCTACCCGACCAAGCACCAGTTAAATCATGGCCGTTGATCTGAAAGATCAATGGCCCATATTGATTCTTGCCTTTTTTAATCCTAAACCACCCCCAACCCTAATCATTTCCCAGAATCCGCCGCCCTAAGATCCTCTCCTCTCTCTCAGTAACTCTCAACCAAACCCTAGCCCTTCAACCGCCGACCTCTCTTCTCGGTCATCTCCGGTGACTTCTCATCGACTCCTAAGCCTCCAATGGCTTCTCTCATGCCATGCTTTCCTTCTCTAAGGTCTTCAAGGGCCCAAGGCCATGCCGACTTGCATCTAGGGTCTTTCACTTGTCTGTTCTTGGCTACTCCAGTGTGATTTCGAGCAAAATC